CTTGAAGCACCCTGGGATAGGGAAGRTGTCCCTGCCCATGGCAGGRTTGGGACTRACWGGAAGGTCCCTTCCARTCCAAACTCTGTAATTCTAAATCACCTTTTTGTCCTTAATGCTTTGCAGGGTTCTTTGTTCCACCCCTTTCCCAGGSATAGAGGTGATGCTGACCAGTTTTTACCTGACCAGTTTGCTTTGAAGGATCTCTGGAGAAGTTGTYTGTACAGCAGCAGCAGAAAACCACTTATTTATTCATCTTGGGATTCTGATGTGCTTGTGCACAGAGATTTCACTCCAAGTTCCTTATCACTCCAATGATCTTTACTACAAAAGGCAGCTCTTGAAAGTAGAAAGGATATTCTTAATAGATTCTCAATGGTTCTTACGCTTTTCATACCTGCAAATATGTGTCAGAAGCAGGCTGTAAATCTTCAGCAATTAAAGTTTTTTAAATGGTCTTGCTTAACAGTCACTATTAGTCATGATAGACATGACCCCTTCTTTCTTGACAGTATTAATTTTGAGGAGCTCTGCCTTATCTGTCATTATAAATAACGGTAAAGCTGATCTGGGCTGATTTCTTATGCTAAGCAAATTTACCCTCCTGATCTTATTTAAATAGAAATTATGTTTTAATTGACAGCCTAAGGATACGAGCGAGGCAAGTTATGTAAGGACAAGAAATGTCTTTTATCAGACTAAATAGTAGAGTAGGAAAAAAATGAAGCAAGATTTGTTAAGCAGGAGTGTTTCTCTTGATAGGAATTGTTAATAGCAAAATGTAGTTTTAGGCTATGCTAAATCACAGATAAAACCAAGCCAGGGAGAAGGTAAGATGGCCATTTATTATTAACAGCCTGAAGATTTGTTCAGCACACTCTCTGATTTCAGTGAGTTCTAACCATCTGTAAAGTTTACACAAGGGACAGTATTATTCCTAAAATTCTATATTCATGAGATTCTAAATTCTCTTTTAAAATTTTAATTAGTGCTATCAAGTAGATTTACCTGAATTACCAATCAAGACACACTGAAAGGYAGGTATTGTAACCTTTCCAAAGGCCCTTTTGCACACAATGAMTGGAGGAAGACTTTGAGTTATTACAAATGGAATAAAGTAGGAAAGGTACGTCTTGTACCTCTGTACTGACCTGGCAGGGGTGTGCTCAGCAGGGAGTATTTGATCTCACCAAATACTGGACCAGCAACTCCAATTAGACAATAAATTSAGGGCTGGATGGAGATTTTGCTGTATGGTAGAAAACACACCAGATGAACATTATCTCTCCATCAGTGGTGCTTTGAAAATATGCAAAATGAATTCTCCTAACATTTATAAAAATCACATCCTCAGTATGTGTTTCACCTGTTCTAGTCATGCTTCATCTTTGTTCCCCCTACATCTCCTGCTGTCTGGGCTCACACTGCTTTTTAGCAGCTCTAGTTTATTAACAAAGGTAGTTCTGAATCTTGCAAATAAAATGCAGTTTAATGAAGTAGCTACATAAGGAAAATGCCTTTAGCAATCGCTCAAAACAGAGACAACAGCTTGAGAAGGAAATTTCCAGCAACATCCATGGAAGCCCAGCCAGCTGTTGAGCCTTTGGGCTCCTTAACACTCCYTCCTAAAGCTGCTTTAAATAAGGTTTGGAAARGGTTCTTTTCTTTTTGGTACTGCTYTGAGGGGTTGGTAGCACCAGTCAWGCAGCTTCTTTGAGRGCTTTCCTAGGGCCAGTTTTGTTATGCATTTTTTCTTTCTTTTCCTGATGGAAATTCTTGAGTCTTCTTTGCTTCAAGTGAGTAAAAGAAGCTTTTGTGGGTCCTAGAGGTAAGGGATGTTTATGCTGTTCAGTAGTATATATGCTAATATTATTTTCTAGAAATTCACTGAACTTTGTGGTTTGAACAGTAACAGATCAATCTAAGTATTGGTTACTCTAAAACATAATGATTTGGAGTCTTTGGTACAGATTAGGTTTATGGGGATTTTACATTTAATTTGACTGCGTTGTTCCTTAAAACAAGTGATAGATTATTTTTTAAATAGGTTTGCTATCTGTCTGTCAGAGAATGCTGGTAATTTTAAGGCCTTTTAATTCTAGTTAATTCTGATTTACTTTAAATTTTAAAACTCTGTCAAACTCTGTAGTTTATCAAAGCTAGAAAAACCCACGTCCAAAGTCTTTACATGAAGGAAAATAGAGCTTCTAGAGTGCCATGGTTTTGTTTATTATGGAATTTCCACTGCTATGTGTTTTACCTATTTTGTTTATGTTCCTGAAAGTCTTCTGATCCCTTCTAATTTCTTAACACTAATTTTAGAGAGAAATGGCTATAAGGCAATCTGTATGTGGAAAGTTGACTTTTATTGTGTGACAGACAGTAACTTGGGATCCCTGATGGCTTCAGTTGAAACATATGTTTTAAAAAGCCAAATACTTATTATGCCTTATAAATCAAGGAATGTTAAGTTGCTTTTTGGTGTATGACTTGTAGTCTTTACTGTGTTCAACATCTTGGAGTGTGAGGTTTAAATCTGCAGTAAGGAAAATCCTTTCTGTGCTTGGGGGGGCTTTTGTTCTGAGGTTTTTTTCCCCTATGGAAAAGGCTGGTGATGCCTTTGCAGCAGAGGGAGAGMAGGATTTATCTGGCAAAGGGTTTTCTTTGTATAAAGAAATACTACAGTGAGAAAACACTGTCTGAGGGAAGTGGGAAAGCAGACATTGCTTGTAAAACCAGATAATTTTGGTGTTGTTAAACTGCATGGAACAGCAGGAATAACAAACTGTGTGGGAGTGTGGGAGAAGTGTGATAAAGGGAAGGAACAGAAACGATTTGTAGAAGTTTTGAGTGCTTGCACAGCTGCATTTTTCCCAAATAATGTCAAGTTCCCATTTGCCAACTGTGTAGCAATTCTCAGTGGCAATTTAGCCTTGCTTTTGTGATTGAAATGAATCCTAGGAGATAKATGGAGCAGGATGAGTTTTAGWAAAAGTTTTCACAAAGAGGCRTCACAGAACAAARCATGAAGGCTTTTTGGTGAGAGAGRCCAAACTTTATTACCTTTTTCTGCTCCATTCCCATTCTTGCAGTGATSCTCGTGAAGGCACAAGTCTTCTGTGTATGATCTTAGGAGAACTAACAGGGAATAAGCTATTTTTGAGGAGGCAGTGGAGAGRTGTGGGGACTGAGGGATGGGCACCACATGGTCACGCACCAAAAGTCTTCTTTAAGAGGCCTTAAGTAGTCCATGGCATTCTAAGATTTGGGATTAAATACAGATGTAAGAGAAAAGATAAGGTAATTTTTAATAAAGAAGTGTACTGATTGAATATATGAGACTTCACACTGGGTGCCTTGAATCAGTCATGCCTTGCCTCACATTTAGGGACCTATTTACTATGTTTACTGTCAGCTGTATATTGTCAACTCTTAAAAATACAGCCTAAAAAATACACCAAAACAGCAGGGTTGGCTTTGATCTGTAAAACAACAATGGAGTGAGGCATCAGCTGTGTAGTAAAAATACCAATTTCTGACTGACAGTGGAGCACAAATGAGGTGCTGAGGTGTTCAATTTCCAAATAAATTTTGATTACTTTGAGAGAATTGGGTCTGGTTTTATTAGACAGCTTTTGCTTTGTCTTCATGATTTCATGGGGAGAAGCTATGAGAAAGCAGAGAGATGAATTATAGTTGGGCTACAATCTAAGATAAAAGAAAATGTTATATTAAAAAGTTTTTGGGGTTCAGCTAGTGTGAAGTTAGGATGCCCTGCTAAGTATTTTGTCTTTTAATATAAACAGAASTTGCTTGATCCTGTGAGCAGAAGTGCATGAGTAAAATAGATTGTTTGTCAAGTGTTCCATTCATACCTAACAGTTGTGATATATTTTTATTGACATTTAGTGATGTACATATCCCAGTACAAAAATACAAAAGGATGCCCTGTAAGGCATTGTGGTTTTGAAATAGGAAATCTTTCCTTTATCATCTAAATCATCCCTCTGTCAGTTTATAACCATTACCCCTTGTCCTCTTGCAACAAGCCCTGCTGAAAAGTTTGTCCCCATGGTGCAAAGACAATTTGTCATTTTGAACTTAGCTCTGGAAATCCAGGTGTTGAAGGTGATCATATTTGGCAGCTGTATCTTGTAAGGAATGTTTCTGTGGAAAATATGCATAAAGTGTTTGTTTAGTCTATAGTTAAGGACTGTATAAGATCTGTCTTAACAATATCTTTTAATGCTAAAATATCCTTTGTGAGAAGTTTTGAATTTATTCTCTTTAGGCTCAGCAAGTATCCTTTCACATATGCCTTACAGGCAAAAAGAATATGGCAGGAGTAGAGAGCAAAATTCAGAACCCGTGAGAACTAATAGATAAAAATGTGATCCTTTGAGCAGGAGGCTTTTATACACTTTGTCAGAGTTGCAGCATTATCAAGRACGCGCACTATCTCCTGCTTTACCGTGTCTGAAACAGCAGCGGGTTTGGGATCTTTGCGGGAGCTGCGTGTTGTAGGAAGATGTGCAAAGTGCATTTTAAAGTTAAATTATAAGGATTTGAGGACCCGAGCCTGAAACGCACCGATATCTCCCCGCTGCGGTCGGGCGAGGGCGCTCTCGGCCCGCGMACCCCGGCGGGACRCGCCGGGCTCCTCCGCTCGCTCCGYGCGTGGCTCCCGGYCCGTGCCCGGGTAGGACCCGCCGTGCCACAGAGGCTCCCGTCGGGAGCTCGGGGTTCCGGGCCCCGGGGCCGCCCGCACCATCCCCGGTTCAAGCGCCGACGCCCGCCCCGCAACTGCACTCGGGCTCCGCGCCCCGAGCCGCGCACGTCCCCTCCCCGCGCCCTCCCCGCGGCCTCCCTCGCCCCGCCCCTCTCGCCTGTGATTGGTCGGGCCGCGCTCTCCGCCGCCGCCGATTGGTGCTGTCCGCGCGCTCATTTGCATGTGGCGGAGCGGGGCGCGCGGCGGAGCCGCTGCAGTGAAGTTGAGCCGGAGCCGCCGCCGAGCGCCCGTTCCGCCCCGCCGGAGCCTCCGCGCCTTCGCCGCCGCTCGTCCCGAGCGGGACATGGCCGAGCGCAGCCCYCCGCCGGGATGGAGGTAGCCGGGCCCTCGGGGAGGGCTCCCGCCCGCTGTGCCGCCGGTCCTGCCGCGCCGCTCGGGGCTCGCTAGGGATCTGCCCCAGCCTCACCTTTCGCGCTTGTCYTGCCGCTTGGCTTAACCCGTCTTTCCTATGGCTGGGATATACAGCTCGACTCTGAAGACCCTGGAGGATTTAACTTTGGACTCTGGTTATGGGGCAGGAGATTCCTGCAGGTCCCTTAGTCTCTCCTCTTCCAAGTCCAACTCGCAAGCCTTCACCTCTTCTCAGCACAGAGGCAACTGGTGGTACTACTCGGGCTCCATGAACAGTAGGAATAACAGCTGGGATACCGTGAACACCGTGCTGCCGGAAGACCCCGAGGTCGCAGATATCTTCTCCAAGTGCCCTAAGCTGCCGGAGCTCGAGGAATACCCTTGGACTGATGAGGACATCGGCAGAATCCTGCGCAGAGGGAAGGGAGAGGGCCAGGGCAGGAGCTTCTCGCAGGACGCGGTCCGGCGGCTCTCGCAGCTGCTGCGGCGCGCCCTGATMCGGGTGTCCCGGGAGGCGCAGCGCCTCAGCGTGATGCACTCCAAGTGCACCCGCTTCGAGGTGCAGAGCGCCGTCAAACTCATCCAGAGCTGGGCCCTGGCCGAGAGYTGCGTCCTGGCCACCGTCAAGGCGCTCTCCTTGTACAGCATGAGCGCCGGCGACGGGCTGAGGAAAGGCAAATCGGCCCGCTGCGGCCTCACCTTCTCGGTGGGGAGGTTCTTCAGGTGGATGGTGGACACGAGGATCTCGGTGAGGATCCACGAGTACGCGGCCATCTCCTTGACCGCTTGCATGGAGAACCTGGTGGAAGAGATTAAGGCTAGGGTTTTGGCGAGTCAGAGCCCCGACGGYGGAGGGGAGATCTCGGCCGAAATCCTGGAGATGGTTATCAACAACGATGCGGAACTTTGGGGAGTGTTGCAACCTTACGAGCATCTCATCTGTGGGAAAAACGCTAATGGTAAGATCCAGTTTTAATAATGGTTGTCTTCAAACCAACAGGTTTTACAGTAAAATCCTCGATCTCTGCGGACTTGGGGGTTTTCTGGGCTTTCTTTGCATCGGGATTGCATCTTGGTCGTGGTTTGTGTGTGCGTAAAGCGGGCATGACGGTYTTACCAGGCAGGAATGATCCTGGGATGTGCCAGGTTATAAAAGGCTGTGGGAAACCGAGCCCTGTTGTCCTAACAAACATCTGACTTTCCACCAAACAGCTGCTGTTTGGAGCGTTTTCCCTCTAACTGGCGTGCAAACACGTTTCTCTGGAACCCTGACATGAAATGTGCTTTACAAGCTGTTGTGGAGAAGGTAACACTATCACTTTCAAACAAAATCTACCTTACAGCGAGTGTCCTGCAGTTTCATCTTAAAGATGCTGTTACCACATACAGCCTGGAGAGGGAAAACAACATTTAATTCTTTTTCCTTTGCAGTAGTAAAATTCACTTTATGARCAAAAACTTTTAACTTCACGTTGCTCTGACTTCCTTGTAGTTCAGCAGGAACCTGTGGTATAAGAGTTTATAACCTCTGCCATAAGAGTTTGTGTGATTGTAGGACGGTGCCTCCGTGATGAGAATAACACAGAGTTAAGGTGCTTGCCGCTGTCATRGGTTTGGAAAGCAAAGTTTCCGAACACTTCAGCAGATAGAGGAATGTTGGCATCGTCCTGCGGGGAGCGAGGAGCAGTTTGGAAAGCTTAAGCCGTGACAAGTTGTGTTAAGGAGCTGCGCTGTTTATTTTGCATTGTCACACTGAGAAATACCATCTTTTTTTCATGGAAAATTCAGGGAAACGTTCAGTTTAGAAAAGYGTTTCGTGTACCACCCACGGTTTCATTGCTTTCGCTGGCCCCTGTTATGGTTGGCTGTTCCACWCTTAACACGTTTGTGATTTAACTCTGTAAAACCAAGGGGCTTGGTCTTTTCAAAAGGGAATCTCACGGTGAGAGAAGGAAAGGAGCTGTTTGAGTTTGAGGGAAAAAAAAAACCTTAGGTGAGTGTAAGCCCTGAAACGTTTTGTCAAAGAACGGCTGACTCACCTCCTCCTCCCTGGGTGCATTGATTTCCTGCAGTTCTACACCCAAGCAATTCTGTGATTCAGATCACGAGTAGGTGACTGCAGTGAGTGTCCCCTTTGGGTCAGCATCACTAAATATTTGTGAAATAAATGCGAAGAGGCTTCTGCATGTTCTCTTGGCACTGGTTCAAGGCATAATGTAACTTTTAAACTCAGACACAGGCATCTTAGCTTCTGACTGCAAGCTCTTGGATGATTAAGGAGGTATGAGGATGCCTTGTCTGCCAAAACACTTGTCATTCTTTGTTTATCATGGGCGTGCTTGTCACCAGGTCCCAGAAGAGGACTTGTTCTCCCCTCTTGTTCCTTATTTAGGGAACCTGGAGTGAAATGTTTTGGTTCTGTGAACTGAAATGTACATTTCAGCTSTCCCCAGTGCTTCTTCCACACAGGTTCTGTGTGTAAAATGAAGAGTTAGACTCTCACAGAGCTCTTCTTTTAAAAATTTTGGGTTTTAAATCTATTTCTTAAGATAAATCTCCTTGGAAAAACTGCAGTGAATGAATGGATGGTGGTGTTGAATGGCAGGGAGGGTGACTGTGCAGGGAAATGCTTATAAATATTCAGAGCACCAAATGGTCAGTTATGATAACRCTCCTGCACAGGGGAAAGCCAAGCAGCCAGTGGCCACAGAAGGATTGGCTTCTGTTGCCTCTTTTGTTGTTCCTGCCTTTCAGATCAATTCCGTCAATAATTGAATGCATTTTTTAAGTCTGGAAATTGAATAAAACCGCACATGAAGGCATTCTGTGATTTCCTGTGACAGTCTGTCACTAGTGTTTTACCTGACACAAGTGAGTGAATCCTCTAAATGGCTTTTCTTGCAGTTGCAAGGCCACAAATGGTTTTATATGGATGCAAAAAACCTTGAAATAACTTCTCTATTCTTGTCCCTGTAGGAATTGTAAATGAGCAGTATTCACATCATCCTGCACAGTGCTTTCAAATGATCTTGCCTTTTACATTAATTTAAATCTGAAGTAGATCTGGCAGTGAAATAACTGGATTTATTCCTGTTTAAGGAACAGGGAAASTTGCTTTACCGTCACTTTGGCTGCTTTTCTAGTAAGAGCATTTAGTGGTGTGCTCGTAAATTGCAAACTTGGGGTGTGTGTGCTGGGTTTTGTTTTATAGCCCTGAGTTTGATGTCAGAGATAAAAAGCACTTAGAGGTTCARTTCTAACTCCAGTCAAGCATTGTAATCTCTGGATGAAATCCATGGTGCTGTCCTATGCAGAAGATTGTGTGGGATTATCATAATGGACATTTCTGGCATTATGATCTATTGAATACCATTTTCATTATTAGATCAGGACAGCCTGCTGCTTTGGAGTCAAAGAAACAGTAAGTAAATATATAAATCTTCCTAAATTCTCATGAGACTGAGGTTTAAACCTGTATTTCTTCAGTGACTAATCTCCCATCAAAGACCACAGTCCAGTCACCGGTCTCAATGCTTTGGAGGCTGAAAGAACAATATTGTGTATTACAACAAACGTGTTTTAATCAACACCTGGTGTGTGAAGGGTAAAGTTTAAAACTCTGCAAATGCTTAAGGGGGAATTCTAATATTATTTTTATATAAATAATAATCTGTGGCTTGCTTGTTTATTTGCCCTTTCTGTGAAGCTGTTCTTTAATCAACTTTTTTGCTGTTTCTGTGAGCCTTGCTCTGCTCTCAGTGTGAGTTCTGCGTTTGTGCTTGGGACTCGGTGTCTCTGCCTTGAAAGGAGGAATGTCACCTGAGCCTGTGGCCCTGAGTGAGGAGTTCTGCCCAGCTCTGGGTTTGTTAATGCCTCCAAGGGTAAGGTCTTTTTAGGCAGAACCTAAGTGAGGATGTTGCAAAAACACTGGAAAGAAAATGAAGCAAAAGCAGCAAAAATGATAGGGAGCTACTGAACAACGTTAGCTCCTGGAAGGTAAAAAACAGTGTGAATTGGAATACATGTTTTATTTTCTGTTTTTAATTACATGGAGATGTCTRTGTGCAGTGGTAGAGAATGCACCCAGTAGTTGCACAGGGATRTTGACACGTGCTGATTTGGAATATTGGAGTCCATTAATTGAAAATGTTTGTTGAGAGAAGAGTTGGAATATGAGCTTACCTTGGGAACGTGACTCTTTTCCTCCACCTGCCTAGGTTTGATGCACAGCTTTTTAGCCTGTGCACTGTCAGCACTGCAAATACATTTTGATATGATTGCCCTGTTAATTACAGCACTTGGGTTGCTCTGAACTCTCTGGTTATGGTCAGGCACTCCCGTGTCTGCCAGTCCACCTGCTGTGCTGTTTAATGCATCAGCACATCCCGGTGCTCTGCACATAGAAGTGTTGACAGATGTTTTGCTAAAGGAAAAAAAAAAAAGAGAGGGGGAAGGGTTGGAATTTAACTTGATAATGCTGTTTCTTCGTGTACCTCTTAGCCCAAACACTTGAAGTTCTCTCTGGATGAAATAATCCACAAATGGCTGGCTGGCTCAGCTGAGGAGGAGGATCTGAAATAAGCTCTGCTTGTGTTTTGAGGCATTTTTTTTAGAAAAGGGTTGAGGGGGGAAATGTATAMTCTTTCCTCACAGTGTGATGGGATGGTTTGGACTCTATAAAATTAAACAAAGCATGAATTTTCATCTCCCTGGTGCTAAACACTGGCAAACTTTATCAGACATCAAACTTAGCATTTACTATCACCAGCCCTGTGTTCTTTTATGTTTCTTACTTCATTAATACAGACTAAAAATTAYAACCAATTTTAACATAGAGAGTTTTTTAGAGCTATGCCATGATAAAATTTCTTTTTTATACCTATCAAATGATYTGAAATAACTTTTTTATTTCTGCATAGTCGTGGTTCTGTATTGAAATCCAGCATGGGGAAAAAAATAATGACATTTCAGTAAGCAGAATGTCCTTTTGTTATCTGAGCTGAACAAAGTGGTGTGCTCATCAAGAGCCTCATCAATTTTAATAAGCTATCAGCTCCACAAGTCTTCAGAAAAGCACTGCATGCTGGAAGGGGGGCATTTTGGGGAAAAGAGCTGCAGATGGAATCAATAAATGAAACTGAGGGGAAATACAAGGCTTGTATGGTGGTACAGCRGGTGGCTTGCAAATCATTTCAGAAAAAAAAGAAATAACTCTGTCTTCTATGTTGCCTTATCTGAAGGAAGAGTTTGAAGAAATTTTGGGGCTTCCTGGGCAGGAATTTGGTATTTTATGTCCACATTTCCATGTTGGATGCTGTGATCCTATTCCAACTCTGGCTTCATTCACCTCTGGACCCCCAGCACACCTTGGGTGCTTCTACTCCTACTCAGTCGAGAGCTCGGATTTGCATCCACAAACCCACAGGGACAAATTCTTTAAACCTAAATCTTAATGCCTGTACACACATGCTCGCCTCTCTTACCAAAAACAAACCACCAGGTGCATCTCTGCAGATGTCTGTGCTTTTAATTGTGCATCTCATGGTAAAATATAGAGCAAGCAAGGCTAGAATAAYGATTTTTTACACTTACAGTCAGTTTTTGGCATTTCTATATATTTATTTATTTAGCTGTAATAAAGGAAAATCATTGAAGTAAATGATGCTGTCTTAAATTGATCCTTCATGTAGCTGATATTGCCCCATAGCAATAAAATTCGTGTCCTTTCAGTAAAATTGGTTGAAGGGCAAGTGCTGAAATGCCCCTCTATAACTACCAGCAGCAAACGCTGCTGATATTTGCATTTTTAGTGGAATCTGTTTGGTGGCAACTTAACCCTTGTGAAACAGAGGAATTGGGCTGTGAGGGAGGGACCTCTTGGAGAGAAAACTCTGTGACCTCTTTTGTCAAGGCTGAAATCTCGTTACTGCTAAAGTTTGAACTGAGCAAGTATTCTTGGGGCCAGGACAGAATCTTAATCTGTAAGTTCCAGCAGGTGCTTGGTTCATTGATTYAGTGATTTTCCAGGTGTAAGATCAAGCTCAAAGATTAACAGTGAACACCTGTGCAATATTTGAGGTGCTCTTACTTGTTACTCTGTGTGTGTGTGTGAGCAGAAAATGAGGAGTGAGGTCAGACTGTTCATATTGTTAGAAATAAAATGGAGAGTGTTTGTGTGTATCTTTTGATACTGAAATAACTGGAATTARATTGGAGAACTTGCAGCTGATCTTCCTGAACTGAGCCACCAAGGTGTTTTTTGTTTGTTTTTTTTCTCACATACCCCATCTAATTTCTTGTGATTTGAAACTTTAATTCACTTCATCAGGGGAGAGTTGGTGGTTGTCAATCAACTTCCATAAATGATCTATAGGATTATGGAWWTCTTCCTCTCCCTTGAGATCAGCAYTCACCCAGAGCATGGATATCMTGTATATTCTGGCTSTTTTGACATCTTAATCCTATCCTCCCTAAATTGGGGTTATTCCAAAACTARCTGCAGTAGTAACAAAGGGCAGCAGTGAATTTTGAATAAGTTTTGTCTTGGTAATGGGGTTGAGATGAAACATATTTTTGCACTGAAAAATCTTGTTTGGGCTGTAATGTTATTGCAGTGTTTTCATGTTGCAATAATTTATTTCTGCTGATGTACATCATGTGATTCAAATACTCCAGTTAATGGTCCATTTAAAGCTTTCTTC